ATCTATGAAACTGAAGGTATTATCAACCTTCCAAACTGAAAGACCCAGGCTCAGAGGCTCACTGATCAGTTCAGCACTTATAGAGACATTATGCAATTTCTTACTGTATCTTTTGGAAGTCAAAAGCAAAAGAAATGTCTCCTAGCTCATCTGGGAGGCACGCGTTTCCCTAATACCAAAACCAGTCAGACATTTCAGAAGAAGAAATTGCAGCTCATCATCTCTCACAAAAACAGATGGCAAAGATCCTCAGCAGTGTTAGCGAATACAAGTCAACAATGTATGAAAGGAATCATACATCATGACCGAGTGAGACTGCCCAGATGTTAAAAGCTGCTTCAATGCCAGACTCTGGGGTCTATCATCCACATCAGAGGATAAAGAAAAAAAAAAAAATGCAGGGCAGTGGTGGTGCACACCTCTGATCCCAGCACTCAGGAGGCAGAGGCAGGTGGATCTCTCTGAGTTTGAGGGCAGCCTGGTCTACAGAGTGATTCCAGGACAGCCAGGGATATATAGAGATAAACCCTGGTTCAAAAATAAACAAACAAACAAAAAAAGAAAATCATTTCCATATGAGTTCTGGAGGGGACTTTCCTCAACTTAGCAAAGACATTTGAAGAGCACAGTCAGCTAATATCACTTAATGGTGAGATAACCCTCTCGTTGCTTCCTTTCAATATCACACTAGAAATCCTAGCCAATGTTATAAGACAAGAAAAGGAAAAAAAAAAAAGATACTGATTGGGAACTCTCTTTGTAGATGAAATGACTGTCTATGTAGAAAATCAAAGCACACACACACACACACACACACACACACACACACACACACACTCCTTTACCTACCTACCATGGAACTCATAAGCAATATAGAAAGGTTGCTGAATACAAAGCGAACTGCCAACAACAAACAGCTAGAATTTGAAATTTAAACTACAGCAGCATTGACTCTAGTACTGACAGAAAGACACAGGTATAAACCTAACAATATATGTACAAGACCTGTGGAAAAAAAAACACAAAACTCTGGTAAAAAACAATCAAACCTCCGTGGAACCTGAGCTAGTCCATGCTTGCGGACACAAAGGCTGTGCTGTCAGGGTGAGGATTCTGCCGACTCACCTGTGGGCTTGGCACAATCCCAGCTGGAATCCCAGCAGGTTATTTTACAATGAACTGGCCCTGTTCTGAAGTGTGTACTCAAATGTCTGCGTGTTGCTGAAGAAGGAACCAGAGGGAGCAACAGGACCTGAATCGGAATCTTGCTCTGAGGTCTGGTTGAAGTGATGGTATGGTGGTTGCTACAGACAGAGAGCCACCGCTGTGGCCCTGGCAGTCGGTAACAGACCAGCAGACCTTGACCACAGGCCAGAGGCAATGGAGGGAGGCAAAGAAAGCCTTTCCAACAGTGGTTATTTGTGGATATCCAAATAGTTGAGTTTGTTTCTGGATATAACACCATGACCAAAAGTTCTTACGAGAGAGATTATTTTGGCTCATCAGTCCAGAGCGGAAGGCATGGCAGTAGGCAGTCCAAGCAGAAGACTGGCTGGTCACTTTGGGCCCATACTCATGAGGCTGAGAAAACAGGAAGTGGGGTGAAGCTATACATCCTCAAAGCCCACCCCCAGCGATGTACTTCCCCTGCAAGGGTGCACCTCCCAAAGGTTCTATAATCTCCCCAAACACCACCAGCACCTAGACTATACCCGAGACTCTAGGGAATGTTTCATTCAAACCACCCCCTATGGGGCTGGAGAGACGGCTCAGTGGTTAAGGGCACTGGCTGCTCTTCCAGAGGACCCGGGTTCAATTCCCAGCACCCACATAGCACTCACAACTATCTGTAACTCCTGTTCCAGGGGATCTGACATCCTCACACAGACATACGTGCAGGCAAAACACCCATGCACATGAAATAAAAATGAAAAACAAAACCCACTACATACATGCAAAACAAGCAAAAGAAAAAAAAACACACACACACAAGAATATAGCACAGATCTTTCACCCTTTACAACGTTTGTTTAAATCTGATCACAAACCTAAATGCAAAACTTGGAAAGCCCCAGCTGGTCTCTGAAGAGGAAAGCTAGATGATTTTTTTTTTTTTTTTTGACAGTCTCATGTAGTCCAGGCTGGCCTCCAATTCACTCTGTAGCTGAAGATGACCTGAAATTTCTGATTCTTCTGACTGCCTGAGCGCTGGGATTTCAGGCATGCCCTGGCACACCTGGTGTAGATAACGCTACAGGTGCGATGTCAGGTGGGTGTGAGTGATGGATCCATAGTCAAGAAAGGATGGTAAGGAGGACTTGATGGGAAAGGGTCCTGTAGAGAGTCCCCAGGAAGCCCTGAGAGAATGTGCATTGCTGATGTGGGTATGGCCAGAACCTTAGCTCCACAGGAATGGCAAAGCCTTACCCAGGTGAGGCTCAAGAGGGCTGGCAAACCTCTTAGAGTGTTGATGAATGATCAATCAGAAGATACAAAAACTAGCAAATGCAGCCTCCTCCTCCCAGGTGTTTACGCTGAGGCTGCCTTCCTTCAGAGACCTCCTACCGGGACTAGAGCTGACCCTTCCCCCCTGTGCTGTACACAATACACAAGATGAGGTTTCAGGCTGCTGGCTGCAGAAGATGGCCTTTATCAAAGTGTGCGCACCCACACCAGACCCCAGCTGTTTGCCCTTCCTTCCCTGGCCACCCCCTAGTCATGGTTCCAGGGCCCAAGGTGCAAGGATGCTGAAAGGGGCGGAGGGAGAGAGGAAGAGGTAGGTGCTCAGGGTGGCCGGGGCAGGTGGGGGTGAGGAAGAGGAACTGGAGCAGACGCAGCGGGTAGAGGCAGTGTGGGCCCTGGGAATTCAGCACAGCACACCCTCATTTTGAGACTGGCTGACTTAGAGGGAGCTGCCTGTGAGGTAGATCTGGGAGGCAGGGGCAGCCCAGCAGGCCCTTGGCTTTGGTCAGCTCTGGGAACCTGCCGAAGGTTCCAAGGTTGGTCCATTGTGCCCCCTGGTGGTGATACTTACAAATCACAGCCTTGCTACAGGCTGTCAGGGGCACACCCTGGCTTGTTTCCTTTCTTGGTTGGCCTCTGACCCCATTCCCTGACCTTCCTGTTGGTGCGTCCACTCACACCCTCCAGGCTATCTGCCAACCGCCCATACTAGCTCCATGAGGGCAGGGATCACCGCCTCTTTGTCACATGGAACGTGCCTGGCATACAGTGGGGACAGTCATCTCCAGGAGCCAACAGCTGACTTCTTGGCCCCGCTGAGGGCTTCCTAACCATCCTAAAATGTAGTCTAGCATGGCTCTACCTGGCATCAGCTGAGCACACCTGTGGTCCCCATCACCTGTGAAGCTGGGACTGTCACAGTCAACACCGAAAGGATGGGGTTTATGCTGGCACTGTGCTGCTCATGATGTCAGCACATGACAGAGACTTGTTCACAGGGACCCAGGGCGAGTAGATAACAGCACCGACCTTTCCCTCGGGGGTCTCTTGCGAGCTCACTTCCCTCTCAGTGACCTGTGGTAGGTGGCAGATATGACAAAGGACAAAATCCAGGCAGTGGGTCATTCCTAAACTTGGGTTCCAGTTGCAGCACCTTAAGTCCCACACCTACCCAGGGCACGTGGGTGGGCCTGAAGTGGGCGCAGGGCCAGGGGGTGCCAGGACCCTTCGGGGTGTTCAGAGGCCCCTGTGCCCCTTTCTGCTCAGCTGGCAGAGTGCAGGTGAACAAGCGGCTGCCGGTGTGGATGGGATGGGGTGGACGCTCCCTTCTTAGAAGCAAACAGGAGCACGCCTGCCCACCAGACCCTCAGGGACAGCAGGGGCCGGATAGAAAACCCAGGATAGAGTTGCTTACCAGAGAAAGGGTTTGTAAGTGGACTGCGTAGCTCTAGCCGGAGAAAAGGCTCAGACTCCATCTGACATCAACAGGTACTGTGGCCGGGGGCTGGCCAGAAGGCCAGAGGGGAGAGGCGACTACTGACATGGAACACCTCAGGAGTCGCCACCCCTCACCATCCCCACCACCAGCCGAGATCACCCAGTGCTGCTGAGTGCTGCATGATGTGAACATGAATTGCTGGCGGGAGGGCTGCCGAGTGGACTCTGGGCACCACTGGAGAGTCCCGAAAAAGCCCAGCCAGCAGAGCAATGCACACCACAGGGCAGGAGCTGTCAGTCTGATGGCCTCGGGTGGACTGGAGCAAGGCAGGAAGCAGGGCTTTGTGTATGCATGTGTGACTGTGCTGGCCCTGTAGTCTCACTGTGGAAACTCACTTCAGTGAAGTTGTACACATACAGGAAGCTTCAATAGGCCCCACTTCTGAGACCTGAGGAGGGCACACCCAGGGTTGGCCTCCCCACTTTAGTTAGCCCTTCAGATGCCCCGGAAGGGGCCATCTGATCAGTAGTGCCATGGGTGCCATGTCATAGGTCCCGGTAAGAGGCCTAGAGGCCCAGACCAGCATGTAATCGGTCCGAGAAATAGCAAGAGCCATTCTCTCCATGGCCTGTAGGCCAGTTTCTTTACCGTGACTCTGTGTGTGTGTGTCTGCACGCGTGTGCACTGGAAGATGGCAGACATCCAGGTACAGAGGCTCTCAGCCTGGTCTAACCCTGCTTCCGCTCAGCACCTGGCATAAGGAGCAGCTGTCTCACAGCCCAGTGCTGTAGTAGCTGCCACAAGGCCAGGGGACCCTCAGGTTGTCTGGCCCCCCGGAACAGATGAGGTGTGTGCAGACCTGTTGGACCAGCCTGGCACCTTTCCACAGGGACCGGGGCACCAGTGTCCTTTCCCTTCTTTACCTAGGCCACACAATCTTACGGCCTGGGCCACCTACCCAGTGCCCATCAGGGGGGCGGTCCGGAGGCCCACTACTGCCAATTTCCTTTTCCTGAGAGCTCAGAGAACCCAGGCTCACCGAAATCTCGTGTTACGGGGTGCCACTCACTAGTTTCAGAAGGCCCTCGATAAAGGCAAGTCCCAGCGTGGAAAGGAGTTTATTCTGGATCAGAGGACTTTCCTTTAACCATCAACAAGGTATCTCTGATTACCAGAGGACTTAGAACGTAAAATATCTCCTTTTAGGGCTTAAGTGCCCTGATCCATCAGATCTAGGACTGCAGAATTTAAGTGCTCTCTGGAAAGGCTGCGCAGACCTCCCAATGGGGACACACAGTGACATAAGCATCCCCGATGAAGCTCCTGCTGCTACTTGAGGCCCAGGGAGGACCTCTGAGCTTCCTGCTGGTAGGAGGAGCTGGGTCAAGTTCAGGATGGACGGCAGAAGGCAAAACTCTTGAGGCAGAAAAACGTCAATGCTCCTAAAAGAAAAGCAACTCTTGTGTCCTGGCTGGCTGGTGCCCGGAAGGGCTGAGAGCTCCACAGCAAAGGAGGCCAAGTATGGCCCAGGCAGCGTCACTTTCCGGTGAGTTCCAGCACCTTCTTCACCATGGCCCCAATCCCGTCATGGATGTGGTGGAGAGCGGTCTCACACATGAAGGCCGGGGTCGTGACCACCTTGTTTTTCTGGTCTACATGAGCTTCGTGAGGAGATGTTAAGGAGAACCCAGCACCAGGCAGGACCGAGGGCATCGAGTGGGAAAAGCCCCGCCCACCCTCAGTCTTGCAGGTCCTTGGCTGCCTGATGACAGCACACTAAACAGGTCTGTACCTGCTGTGTGGCTTGTCACCCAATTAAACAGGAGGAACTAGCTGCTGACTCACAGGTGGTCAGGGGGAGGAAAAGGTGACGTGCGGTGGAGCAGTGCCTGATGGCAGCCTGCGTGCTAGCCCCACTTGGGGACTGAGGGTCCACTAGAGCAAGACAGGAGCCTGGCCCACCTCTCCCACACTGGTCCTGTTGCCTTCTCTGGTCAAGCAAGCAGCTCCTAGTCTTCCAGGCCCCAGAATCCTGTTCTAGCCTCCACTCTTCACAGGTCACCTCTCCTTGTGGGGAGGTGACCAGGCGTCCCAGCTATGTGCTCCAGGCTGAGGAGTCAGAGCTGAGTAGTCTCAATAGGTTCGGGAACACAGATCTTCCCCGGCCAAGTGCCGAAGACAGCCTTCCACCAGCCTGCCTGTGCCACGCCAGGCTAGTGGCACCCCAAGATGCTGGCTGGCCCTGTCCTTTTGCCCAGGGAAGTAAGACCAGCAAATATAATTCTTGTGGAGAAGGCTGCTGGCCACGGACACCCTGAACGGCCAAAGAATGGGAAACCTAATGTGCTACCTGACACCACACCGACCAGCCGCCAGGGAGGATATGGTCACACCCTTCACACAGTGCCTGGCGCCCAGGGCTTTGATGGCTTCCGCAGTTCCAGCATAAGGCCACTTGCCACCCTCCTCCTGCTCGTGGCCCACAGTGACCTCGACACCTTTGATCACTTTGGCAGCGAGGACAGGAGCGATGCAGCACAAGCTGAAAAGTCAAAAGAACTGTTATCAGCACAGGGTACACAAGGAGGGGGAGGACCGGGAACAGCCTAGGCCTCAGACAGTGAGGCCTGGGAGTCTGGCCCCAGCCTCACGGCACCGGGCACACGGGCACCAGGACTTGAACAGCCCTGGACAAGAGATGGCTATGAAGGAAGCTGAGGGGCCTCGGAAACCAAACTCTGCACTGCCATCTGACTGTCCCCTGTCTAGAGTAGCGGCTCTCAACCTGTGGGTCTCAAGCCCTCGGCGGGGGGAAACAAATGATCCTTTCACAGGGGTTGTACGGCAGATACCCTGTATATCAGATATTTACAGTACTATTCATAACAGTAGCAATATAATAGTTATGTAGTAGCGAAATCTTACGACTTGGGGTGACCACAACAGGAGGAACTGTATTAAGGGGTCACGGCATTACGGTGGTCGAGAGCCACTGGTTTAGAATGTCATCTCAGGAAACAGCCCTGCATGACCCCTGGCCTGCACCACAACCCTTGGAAGTGAGCTGCCCTGGCTGGGCATGGTGGAACAAATGATTATCCCGGCACTCGGGCCACAGATGGATCTGTGAGTTCCAGGCCAGTCAAAGCTACATAGGAAGACTCAAAAACAGCAGCGAGCTGCTCCGACACACAGGAGGCAGGCGGCTGTGCCCAGTGCTTCGGCTCTGGGCCATGGGCTGGAGCTGCCAATCCCGCCTCCACTGCGCCCACCACCTTTTCCCACACCACCACCCTTCACAGGCTGCTGCTGGTCCTACTGGGCTCCAGCGCTGGTGAAGCCGCCACACTAAGATAGCTCACAGTCTGTCAGGAGCCCTCACGAATACCCGCTGTCCTCTTGAACCCCGGCGCGTCACCTACCCAATGGGCTTGCTAGCCCCGTGGAACTCCTTCAGGACACGCTCTACTTCCTTGTTAACCTTGCAGTCCTTCCCGTCCACGGCGAATGTGCTCCTGCCACGAGAGGAGACGCTGTCCTCAGCGGTGTCCCCACCATCTGAGTGGCCCACTGGACACCAGAGGAGCTGCCCACAGTGTGGCCACAGGCCAAGTGGACAGCTGGCTATCACGCCGAATGCGGAATTGTGTGCCTAGCTTCTCATTTACCAGCCGCAGGGTGGAAGGCACGAGGTGGATGGCCAGTCTGTGATGGCACTCTACCTTCAGAAGCCAGGGGATGGCAGAACGAGAAACAAAACCTCAAAAAGAGGGTTCTAGACAAAGAAACACAATTAGCCTAAGAGTAGCAGCCGTTGGTACACTGACGGTGAATTAGACGGCATGGAGGAGTGTCTGCCTTGTCTTTCTTTTCTTCCAGGGAATGTGAAGGTCAAGGGCAGCTGAGCAGGTAGGGCGTTACCTATCCTTAGAGAGAGCAACCTGGCAGAGCCCAGCACTTCACATATGTGTACGACTTTCTGTCAGAATGCAGCTTCCGGGCCCTCCTGTGCTGTGGCCTGGAGGTCTGGCACTGAGGAACCAGGTTCACCATTGGGTGTTGACTTTTGTCAGCCAAACTCACCAAATCATTCTACCTTTTAAACTCTAACCCTCTCTCTCTCTCTCTCTCTCCTTTTAAACTCTAACCCTCTCTCTCTCTCTCGATGCTGTTAAAAACAAGCAAGGCTCCAAGAAGTCATCTTAGCCATGAGGGTGACAAGTTCCATGACTCACGGTACCTTGGGCACTGTGTGGAGTCTAACCACAGTTGAACAGTTCTCAACCCAGCTGCAAACCGCATCAGGCGAAGCAAGAGTGTAATGCTGGCAGCAACGAACATGCCTATATACTTGGGGCTTCTCTAGAAGGTACACAAAGACGGCCAGTACCTGGAGCAACTGGCTTTCCATAATGAGCCTGACACAACTCACCTACCCTGACAAATATGCACACATGAAGCCCCAGCCATGCACTACCTCATAAATGCTAAGTCAAGGTCACCTTTCACTATGTGAAGCCTTAGCCAACTGCTGCATGCTGCATTTCAGCAACAGCAGCAATCACCAACAAGCATCGTGGTTTCACAGTTTCAAGAGCAACCTGTCAATGAGGGCCTGCCATTCTTCTGCAAAGGTTAGAAAGAATGAAGATGGCAGCTTCCCCACAGGGGCTAGTGGGCTTGGACAAGGGCGCAGAGGCTCATAGACTCCTTAAATGCCATAGAGACTCAATACCAAGAGCCTATACTCCTAAGTAAACAAGACAGCCAAGCTGGAAGACATGGCTTCTAGACAATCTTCCACTAGGCAGGAGGTGACAGGCAAGAGCTCGGCCTTCCAAGAAACAGAGGCCCCAGTGGAAGGGAAAATCCAGGGGCACCATGCCCCACCATGCTGCTGTGAGGATGGGCCTCGCAGGCCTCTGTTAGGGCTGGGCACTGCCACATTAGCGGGTATCAAGCCAGGGCGTGGGTGGGTGCTACCAAAAGAGCTCTAGGTGTGCATAATCTGAGAAAGCAACATTTTGATGGCCCAGCAAGGTAGTCAGTGGGTTCGGATTAAGATAGGTGGACTGGGGTTTGGAGAGATGGCTCAGTGGGTTAAGAGCGCTGACTGCTGTTCCAGAGGGTCCGGGTTCAATTCCCAGCACCCACGTGGCAGCTCACACCTGTCTGTAAGTCCAAGATCTGACACTTTCATACAGGCATACATGCAGGCAAAATACCAATGAACGTAAAATAAATAATTAAAAAAAAAAAAAAAGGTGGACTGGTGGCACTTCAGAACATGTGAAGTTCTGTGTCTCTCCCTTCAGGGAGCAGGACACTCAGTAAACTGCCTGGGGATATTGCAGAGCCTCCTCAAGGCTCTCCTTGACAACTAGCTGGGTGATCACCTCTCAGGCAGGGTCACGCTGAAGCTAGTACCACAGAGGCTCCCATGAATACTCAGCAAAGAACCACCAGGAGCTGTGAAAAGGGCCCCAGCTAAGAGGCTGTCTGGAATTTATCTGCTGTTTCCCACAGCAAACGCTTAAATAGCAAAGCACTAAGCGCCTGCCTCTTTCCTTTTGCCACAGAGTGAGAGGGCATTCCACTTACTGCCCCGCTGCTGTGGAGAGACACTGTGAGCAAAGCAACTTGGATAAGAAGGCATTTTTATGGTTTCAGAGGGTTGGTTCATGGCACAAAGCATGGCGGCTGGCGGGCAGGCAGGCATGGGGCTGGGGCAGTAGCTGAGAGCTTACATCTGATTTGCAAGTTGGAGGCAGAGAGAGAGAGAGAAATACTGAGACAGAGACTAACTGGATCTAGTGTGGACCTTTGAAACCTCAAGAATCCACCCCCTGACATACCTTCTCCAACAAGGCCACCCCTCCTAATCCTAAAAGTGTTCCACTGAATAAGGTCCAAGCATTCAAACATTTGAACCTTTGGGGGCCAGCCTCACTCATACCCCCACAGAGGCAGAACAGCTCTGTGCAAGAACTGACGCTTGCAAGGACAAGCAGTCGGAGTTTGCTGGGACCTGACTCCCAACAAGGAGGTCACTAAGACCGCCCTGCCCACCCTGACAGCTTCCAGGCACTGGGATGCTCAGAGGAGGGAGCAAAGGCCACCCAGCTGATCTTGCTAAAGTGCCCCAGCCCACCCCCCCCCCGGTAAAAGAGCAGGCACACGTGTGGTCTGGAGCCTTACACTTGGACACGCACAGGTTTTTGGCAGCTCCAAAGCCTCCAGGGAAAATGGCGGCATCATGGTTGGCAGCACTCAGCTGAGCCAGGTTGGTGATCTTGCCTCGGGCGATCCTTGCCGACTCTGTCAGAACGTTCCTGGAAAGAGCATTCAGGGACGGATCAGTGTGCAAGCGTTGCAGGCTGGCCTCAGGACCAACACCAGGTTACCAGGGGTCAGAGGCCAGCAGCAACTGGAGGCCCAGCAAGCACCCACAGCAGGCAGAATCCAGTGCTCCTCACCAGGGAGGGGCTGCCTAGGAAGCCCTTTCTAGGATGCCTGCAGCCCCCTGAACATCAGATGTAGATGCAACCTCATCCAGGCTTGCACAACAGGGAGGAGGGGTCCTGGGCAGAAGGAAATGGCAGGGATGCCAACAGAAAGCCCTTGACAGCTAAAATTGCAGTTCCTCTCAGTCTCAGGCCCCAGGACAGCCTTTAGGGCCACCCTGCAACCGGGCCTCAGATAAAAAAAAGTAGTTGTGCTGGACATGGGGTAGTATGCCTTTGACCCCAGCCCTTTGGAGGAAGAGGTAAGCGAATGTCTATGAATTCAAGGCCAGCCTGGTCTACATAGTAAGTTCCAGGACCATCAGGGCCAAATAAACCTGTCTCAAAAAACCCAAAAACCTCAGGCAGTGGTGGTCACATGCCTTTTATCCTAACACTCAGGAGGCAGGGGCAGGTAGAAGGATCTCTGCGTCCGAGGCCAGCCTGGTGTACAGAGTGAGTTATAGGACAGCCAGGAACTCTGGGAAAAACAAAACAAAACAAACAAACAAACAAAAAAACCAACCAAAACCAAAACCAAACCTTCAAACCAAATTTAAAAAAAAAGAAAAAAAAACAGTATTCCACACAGTGAATAGCAAGCATAGACCATGATCACCTCACGCCCAAAGGAAGGACAATGACTACTGCTCCCTGGGAGGTCAGAAACATTCTGCCTACCCATGGCAGTCTATTTCCTGAACAGCTGGACGACAGCTGCTTTGAAGGACAAGTGGTTGATGGCATAATCAGGGAGGCTACACTACAGGAGCGGCACATGGGATCAGGGGACCTGCAAGGCCCTTCCCCTGCTCATACCTGCGTTCGCTCTCAGAAGGCTGCCCCTTGGTGTGGTCAATCACATGCATCTGAGGGACATCAGGAGCAAAGATCTGGACCTCTGCCCCACCTCGGCTCAGGTGCACCAGGATCCTATGTGGAGAAAATCCGCATAAAAAAAATTGTCACTTCCAAATGTGTTCTCCAGACTCATGTCAACACAATTTCACAAACAGACTTTCACTAAGTGCTTGGGGAATTCCTCGTTTATAGGATACCTTGTTGCTTTTATGAAGCCACAGCTGGCTCCAATCTAATACCTACCGCTTACAGATCTCCGAACGGTAAGGGTGGAACCAGCGCACACAGGCAGGTGCTTCAAGCCTTCCCTACAATTCCTTTTACCGAGTGGTGATGTGCGGTGGCTGTTGACTCCGCAGGTATTGCATTTTAGCTATATTCAGGGCCCCAGGCTGCTGCCAGGCGCACTCCCTTCACCCAGGATTTCTTATGGCAACTTTTGTGTCATGCTGTGCTAATTTTGGCTTTGAATTTCTCACGATGTGAACCCACTGTATTTGGATACGCTCTCGCCATGTCTGCCTTTTCAACCAAGAGAGTGTTTACGTTACAAACTTTGAGGACTTACGCGGAGGCCTCGTGGATCTCGGTTCCGTCATAGACTCCGCAGCCCGACAGCACCTGCAGGAAGAGACGCGCTGACGAGGGCGAAGGACCCAACACGGAATTACCAAGGGGAGAGGAAGGCTGAACCCCTGCAGGGGCCGACCTTGGGCGGACTGCTGGTCGACCCCAGACAGCGAGGGACCAGCAAGGAGAGGACTCGGCCTCGGAGTCGGGCCCTGCACTTACCAACGCCACCCTGGCCACGGGCCGCGGCGCGGAGCTGTGAAGGGCTGCGCGCTGGGAGGGAGCCCGGTGGCGCCCCGAGAGCGCAGAAGCCAGTCTCGGGGCCACCAGAGCCCTGACGGCAGCCATAGCGAAGGGCAGACAGCGGTGTCCCGAGAGCCCTGTGCAGCGCCGGGTTGCTGTGCGCAATAGGGCGGAGTCGCGCTGGCCAATGGAAGAGCGCGCAGCCGGCCCTCTGGTGGGCGGAACCGCGCCTGCGCAGTGACCGGCAGAGTTTGCAAAGTACCTCGTTTCGTTTCCGAAAAAAACGGTGGGTGAGCGGGGCGGCAGAGCTCAGAACATGGCCCTCTGACCTAAGGGAACAGCCTGTGGGACTTTCCCGCGATCGTCCTGCGGCCACGCCTCAGCCTGCCTCCTGAGTGCTTGAAGGGCGCTCATCTTGGCTAAGGCCACGGCCTACTGAAGCTCCAGTATGCATTCACTACAATGCCCCTAAATTAATTTTAAGTGTAGTTCCCCAAATAACGGGATCACAGCAAGAACCGCGCTTTCCTTTTCTCATTTTAACGGGATGTGGTGGTGTAGCTGCAGTTCAGTGTCCATCGGGGTAATAACCACAAAGTTTCACTGCCTCTCCCTTGCCACTGCGAAAGCTGTCAAAGGTGGCCCGACCTCTCTCAGTTCCTGGTGCTGACCCTTGCGTGGCATTCCGGAAATCAGCTGCTGGGTGTTTCCCTCTTTGAGATGGCAGCCCTTTCACATTTAGGAGACACATGATAGAAAGAGGCCTGGGATGCATAGCATATATGTAAGCCAGGGCGCATACAGAAACGGGCTTAGTGGACCAACACCTTTCTTGGGAGTCAGGGCATGATCCAGTTTCAGTTGACAACAGGAGGAGGGGGTCAGTGCACGCACTCACTGAAGTGTGGGGCAATTTGCAACTGGTTGTCGACAGGGGTGGAGACGGGCACGTTAACATGAACAGACCTGTAAGGTACTCCGAAGGGTGACTGAGCCCCGTTTCTGGTATAATTAAACTTGTTAGAGATGGGTGATGGCTCAGTCCTACTCGCCAGCCATTCCCCAGGCCCTCAGTTCCACATTCAGCAACACACACAGAAGTGCTAAGGCTTCATAAAGTTATACTGACTACTGCAGAATCACAAGATGGCACTACAAGCCAGGCCCTGTCTGGGCGGCCAGGATTCTGCAACACGACCCTATCAGGTCATGGCGCGCCCTGAGTGTGATGATGGCATAATGGCAAAGGCTCTCAGTGCCCCCGGTGCCCCACAGATCGACTCCTGTGGCCTGGACATAGGAGACAATGGACAGTTACCAGCATGAGAGCTGGCACCTGTGGGCCACTTCACTGGAGTGACATGCCCAGTCAGCCACACGCGCAGAAAGTATCCGTAAAGCATCGCCCTGGCAGGGAGGGACTGTCCCCTCTCCCACATAGCCTGAACCTACTGGCAAAGATCTGTACAAGCTTCCCTGGCCAGCCTTGGGCTGTCACACCTGCCCTCCTGGATCAGCCCAGCACGTTGTCTTTTGTCCACATGCGGATGACCAGGGCCACAGGCCTGAGCAGACAGCCACTCTGATCTACCCTGCTTACTTGAAGACAGTGGCTCACCCATTATAAACATCACAAACTCAAAGATGAGAGGCGAAGTCCTCACATTTTTTTAAAAAGCTCATTTCCCAGCCCATAGTTCATTCTTAGATCTTCATATTAAAAATATAAATAACTCTGATAGGAAGTCTGCAAGTCCACATTCTAAAACTGTCCACTTCTCAGGAAGGCGATGTGCAGGGATCACCGACACGGCAGCACTCTGGGCCTAGGGCATACATGTGCCCATTATATCCATCCCGGTCCTGGACCCAAAAGGTTGGCTTGCTGCCTCTGGCAGGAAGAGTCCTGGCGGCAGAGTCCTGGGGCATCTGGCATCTCTCAGTTCCTGGCCCCAGGGGCACAGTGGTTCCATCTCCATCAGCCAATCCAGCTGTGCAGGGCATGGTCTACACCAGCATCCCTTCCTCTTCTTCATCTGCAGCTTCCCTGAGTAGGTGCAGACTGTCCTCATCAGATGCATCTGTGTCCTCCTCTGTGTCTAAAGGCTCCAGGGTGCGTTTCACACCCCGCTGCTTGGAAACTGCCAAAGCATACTGGATGTTGTAGCGGTTCCACTCACAGCTGGGGACAGAGGACATTAGGTCAGCACAGGCACCCACCCAGCCGCCACCAGAAGGATTGGATGCAGCTGTCTCCAAAAAGTATCTCCTCCTTTCTCAGGCTGATTTAGTTCCCGCTCCACCAGGTACAGGGGCAGCATCTGGCTTGCCCTCCTTGCTGGCCCTTCCATTACAGCCATTTACAGAGCCAGGGGGCTGATTCTCCACATTCCCAGGACAAAGGGGAAATCTCAGACCTCACCTCCCAGAGTCATGGGTGAGGGCAGAAGCCAGGAGAACGGAACAGCTGCACCATGAACCTGTGGGTGCCATGGCTATCTATACATGGCTGCCTCATATACCTACACAGAGCCAGTCATGCCAAAGCGTTGGCCACAAAACCAGACCAGGAGCAAGTTTCAGAGGAGGTGGTGGAGTGGCAAGAGCACTCTCTTGTGGAGCTGCTGAGTCATGGATGCGCCAGCCAGGAGAGGCTAGGCACTGTATACCTTGCTAAGTAGACCCCTGCCTTTGCATAGCCACCTCTAACACCATCTTCCTGCAGCCAGGCAGGACTCGAGGGAGGAAGGGCACGAGGAGGAAGGGCTTGCTCTAGATTGGGAGAAGCATTATAACCAAGAGAACTACAGAGACTATGGTGCCCGCTTCTCTCAGGGACCCTTTATGCAGAGTCTAGTAGAAAGGGATATTATAAGCCTGGCTGGGACACGTGGCAACTGCTCAGTGATAGATGATCTGGGACATGTACACAGACCATCAAATACTACTTGGGGGAGGAGGCTGAGGAGGGGGAGGATGCAATTGGGATCTTTCTAGCGAGCACTGTCCCAAGCACTGCAGTATATTGTCATCACTGTCACACGAGGGAAAGCCCTGCACATGCTGGCCAGGTCCCAGGAATCCAGCCCACCTGCCCCCAAGACCTGTGGCCACCTCACTGCCCACACAAGTGATGTGCGAATCCAGGCCAGGCTGCCTGGTCCTGTAATTGTCAAGCGTCCGTGCCCGGGGTGAAGGGCTCCCACCGTGCCTCAGGCACGTTCCACCTCCACCTGTCCAACTGTGGCACGAGTTCATGGCGTCCTCACTTTAGAGTCAGCCCCATCGAACGGTGATCATCACACCCATGGCAGATGAACCCAGTTCACCCAGCACACAGCATAACATGCCTCTCTGACACCAGAATATTCTGTCCCCAAATCAGACACCACAGGGACCAATCCTGATCAGAACCAGCCGCATGAGCCCTACCCTGCCCACCAACCCCAAGGCACATACAGCTTGGAAACGTCATCCAGATGCCGCTGGAGGCCCTTCTGAAGAAACTGGACCACAGGCAGCAACTGTCCTGCCCTGGGAAGGAGACACTGTCAGTGTGTATACATATACGGGAAGCTTCCCCATGGCCATGACCAAATGGCTGGGTTACTTGGCCCGCAGGTTATAAGCAAGGGGGGGAGAGGGGGGGAGGAACCCATTCTATACCTGGACTTTAGCCGCTGTCCATGTGACATAAGTAACTTCTGTGTCCATATAAGGTAGAATTCAAGGTGCCTGGACACTTCAAAGGAGGCAGCTAAGAACTCCAGCACTTTCTCTACATACAGCTCAGGAAGGGAAGCGCTGACCACATCAACTGCAAAGAAGCAAGCAAGCCATACTCAGTTTGCAAAGAAACTACCAGGAAGAGTGGAGACACCTAGAGCTTTTCTGCGCTAGCAGAACGTGGCTGGTGGCCTGGCTTACTCTCACTGTGTGGCACAGCCTCCAGGGCCTCCTGTGCCAGTTTTTTCTCATTGAGCCGGAAGGCCATGAGGATGGCCCGGGTAAACTCCCTCTGCCGTAGTGCCTCACGGATCCGCGCAGGGGTCACACTGGTGTCCAGCTCAAATGGGTCGAAGAGCATCTGGGAATCCAGGGAGAAGATAAGAAGCCCCTCTGTGCTGGTGGCTGCCCAACAGCGCCCTGTGGAACAAGCAGCAAAGGGGCTTCCTCAAAACCCGAAAGCTCATTTGTGCCCCACTTCACAGCAGGTAGCAACAGACTGCTGGCAGCTATCTTTCCAGGGCTGCAGCTGCCCAACCGTAACACAGATGCCCATTTCCTCTGGCTGTTTTCAGGGGTCAGCAGGCTTCCTAGAACAGGGGAGACCTGCAGCCTTGACGGCCATACAGTTTCTGCCACAGCTGCTCAAGCCACCCATACCCTGGGCATAATAAACAATGCCTCTACCTCAGAAAAACCAAAGCTACAACATACTGTGACAGGGCAGATGGGACAGATCTGGGCCTCAGGCTGTGGTCTTTGGTCTACCTTTCACAGTGGGAAGTGGGGTGTAGGGGCGATCCTCTCCGAATGTGTCTGATATAGGAACACAACACACTAGTGCTACAGTGCTGGCTCAGGACCCTGCATCTTGCTCTACCACAATAGAACACATATATCTAGTGGGCCTCCGGCCTAGGCAGACCCTTGAATACACAGAGGGATACATGCAGGGCAGGAAAGGTACTATCAATAGCTGAGGTGCTGAGAGTCTGCTTCCTAGGAAAGACACATGGACTATCCCTGCCAAGAGCAGGGCCTAGGCTACAACTATAGCTCAGCATGATAGCGATGGAATTTCACAGTTGTACGCCTCAAGAACCAGGGCAAACACATGGCCAGTCATTTCCTCCTCACAGGACAGCAATGCCCAGAGCCTGCCAGCAGCTCAATATCACCCCTACCCCTGGAACAAAGGCCCTGCCACCTATTAGAACTGACACCTGTTAAGGAAGGTTACCCAGGCTCACCAGTGGGAGAGAAGCGCAGAGAAGTTACTCTGATTTCAGGTTTGAAGTGTCTAGAACTCATATCACCTGGGGAGGAAAAACAACTGTACTTACTTGACTGTGTACCCTGAGGCCAGCCTTCAGGCCCACTGTGCTGCCCAAGGGCAGTCACAGGGACCCACAAAGAACAGTTTTCCCTGAGTACAGGAGGAAAGCAGCTCTTCTAACCAAATGCCAGCAGCCAGAGAACTCGGTCACCAGTGCTGTGGCCTTGTGGCCTCTTGGAGCTGGGCATCAGTGACAGGCCTGAGAGCATGAGCTCCTGAGTTCATCCACGGGCCAGCAGATGGCTCTTCTGGCTCAGAGCTCTCTGCCCTGCCCAGGTGGGTCTGGCTGGTCCAGGGAAAGCCTACATAAAGGTATTCCAGCTTTCTGACTCATATTTACGGGGACAGTCTACTGAGTCCGGGGGGGGGGGGGTCCCTAGCATTGAGCCTCTGGAGCAAACACAGGGGGCCTCTCCTGTCTGAAGCAGGACAGGCATTCCAGGTTCAGGCAGAAATGCCACAATGCACAAATGGCCAGACTCCTCACTGCAGCCCCATGGAGGGAGCAGCAGGCAGCAGTGCCACCAAGAAAAGTGGCTGGTGGGCAGGTCAGGGGACTTCTGCTCACCTTTCCTTACACCTGGCAGTGGAATTGCAACCCCATTCTCTTCCCCAGCATCTTGATCGATGAGTGCCAAGTTGCCAAACTCTGTCATCTTTCTTCGGTTCAGGAATTCCTAGAAGAGTAATAGAAGAGAAGAGTAGAAGCTGCTATCATCACGCTCTTGCCCATAACACCAACTGTGCCTTAACAAGGGCCTGACACGTGGACCCTACCCACAGAACCTTCCCTCAGGGTCTGCCACTCATGTGGGGAGGAAGAGGGTCCAAGGATGTATACTGGCAATGTGGTGCACGTGCATGGAGCTATCACACACACACACACACACACACACACACACACACACACACACACACAC